AATGTCCTTTTTTCATTTATATAATTGTTCGTTATAGAATTGTACGTTCAGATTATGCATACATGATATAAGGGCCGTCATACTAGCTAAATATCTCCATGACTATCCACATCGAATAAGCACATAATGAAGACTTGTAGAATATAAGTGGAGTGATTCATAACTAAGATTTTACTAGTTCTTTTACACTTGTGTAAAATCAAATGGCTAAGAGTCGAACTGGATAAAAATATCTATGTTAAGAGTATTTAAAATATTCATACGAAAATTCTTATTTCAATATTCGTCGACCTGGAAGTGCCAATTTATTTATAGACATATTAATGTGATTTGCTATTTCCTTTATGCTTTGCCTTAACTTAATACTTCGTTATTTTGTTTTGAAGGCGCACCATTATCCCCTTAATATCATACTCTCAAGTTCTAACATCAACTTATTTAACTAACCCTTTGTTCAAAATATGCTTTTTTTTATTTAGTCTTTCTTGAATGTGGCTGAGGAAAAATATAAAGTCTGGTTGTATTCAGACCTGTCTATCTCTTAATTATTTGATTTCAATAAGACTTTTAAGCTAGGATCTATCTCAATCAATAAGGCTACATTTATATACATTACAATTTCATCTCTTATTTAGTCTCTCCTGGTGCCTTCTTTCCTGAACATTTGTCCGAGCCTCCTTTGTTAGCAGGCCTCCGATCAGGTCAATTTGTCCAGGGTGTTCTGCGTGTGTCAAGATATAGAGCAAATCAGGAGGCAAGTGTTTGCCTTACTGATGCCAGTACTGTCAAGCATGTACCGGGATTGGGAGAACTAATTGGCACCAGAACGGAAATTTGTATTCATGGTTTACAAGCTCGTAACCGTGCCATTGATGGTGATATTGTAGTTGTTGCCTTGCTTCCAAAAAATCAATGGTCTTCAACTTCAGGCGATATCAGCGAACTTGAAAGCAGTAAGCTCAGAATATAAAACTTTTTACTTTATTTTTCTATGGCTGGACTGCTAATTTTCTTGAGTTTTCCTGTCTGTCTCATAGTATATTGCCGGTTAGGCAAACTCCCAATATAAATTCTTATGTAATCCAGAAATACAAATACCTCTATATTTCTTCTCACATTCTGGAATCAATTTTAATGCTCACCTAATAAAGAGGGATGTTTTTACTTTTTTCTATCGCAAAAAATTTATACAAGTTAAGGTGGTGGCATTGTATTTATTTAACGATAAACTGAAATTCACATATACAAAATACATTTTATAATGAGCTTCTCTCAAGATAATTAATTAAAACCGCTATCTATTAACTGTCTTGTTGAATATTTATTGCAAAAAATGCTAGAATGTATGGCGATAATAT